GGGCTCAGGAGTTGTGGTGCAAGGGGCTAGGTTGCTCCGCAGCACATGGGATCTTCCCGGATCAAGGAGCGAAGCCATGTCTTCTGCATTGGCAGGTGGATTCTTTATCACTGAGCCAACCAGGGAAGCTCCGGAATAGTACTTCTAAAAAAGAGATTTGCTAATTTGGAGAGGTCTCCAAGACAGAATTTTAACCCAGGTTAAAGAGTAAGTGATTCCTCATTTTCTAGGGGTGTTTGAAAGAATGTTATTCATCCATTAGGTAGAACTGTTTTTTCCTCCCTCCCCTGTCTGTGGATATTATTGATCATTTTATGAGCCCAGAAAGCTGCAACTGAAGTCAACAGTCTCAGTGGCACTGAGTAAATGTCCCCCTAAAGGTGCTGAATGGGTTAATCCTTTGACCTTCTGAGTTGCAGAAAACTAGGCTCAAGGGGCTGAACAGGAAGCACGAAAATATAAGATGTGAGTCACTGGTTCCGGGAACTTTATGTTCTCAATGAAAATCCATCTGAGCAGCCACCTCTAATGAAGCATCTTTAGATGAATTGGATCCCTTCATAAATCCAAAGGATAAATTAAATAAATGAACTATGTGAGGCCAGTTGATTTGTTGTTCACTTTTCTTCTGGAAAGGCTCAACTACAGATTTATTACTGCATTTCTGAAGTCACTTGATTTAGTGCTGACGTCTTCTGGAGCTTTTGATATCTGCCGCAATGATTGAGACCTTGGAAGGTATGCAAATGTGTTTTCCACAATATTTATTTATGTCCCCCTTTGGATACCTGATATGAAGAGTTGACTCATTGGAAAAAACTCTGATGCTGGGAAAGATTGAGGGCAGGAGAAGGGGACGACAGAGGATGAGATGTTTGGATGGCATCACTGACTCAATGGACATGAGTTTGAGCAAACTCTGGGAGATAGTGAAGGACAGAGGAGCCTAGCGTGCCACAGTCCATGGAGTTGCAGAGTCGGGCACAACTTAGTGACTGAACAACAGCAACAATGCACTGCTTAAAGAGCAGCTGCGAGCTGTCCCTGCTTGGCTTGCCCTTTTAGTACTTTTGGGGCTGGTGTCACGAAAGGCAGGGACACTGGGCTGGGACACTGGTTTCAAAACTACCAAAGGATGTGTGTGTTCACTGGTTTGCATTTCATAACAGTGTAAAGTGGACACAGTCTAACTTTTATTTCAGCCACTTTGAGGGAGAAAAGAACACCACGGCCTCCGGGAAGAGTGGATGTTATGTGTCAGTTTGATTGGATCACGCAATGCCTGGTTAAATGTTATTTCTGGGCGTGTCTATGAAGATGTTTCCAGAGGAGGTTCACGTCTGATTTGAATAGCTGACCCTTATTTGGTTTGGGGAACGTGACAAGTTCTGTTCTGCTCTGCACTTAGCACAGCCCTGGACTGTAAATCTGGAACAAAGGGGCGTTCTTTCCTGTCACCATGGTTGTGACTCTCCCGAGGGGATCCCTGAGTTACTCCAGAAGGCCTTGTGTGTGCATGCGTGCTAAGTCTCTTCAGTCATGTCCTACTCTCTGTGACCCCCTGGACTGCAGCCCACAAGGTCCTCTGTCCTTGGGATTCTCCAGGCAAGAAGACTGGAGTGGGTTGCCATGCTCTCCTCCAGGGGATCTTCCCGACCTGGGGATCCAACCTATGTCTCTTCAGTCTCCTCACTGGCACGCAGGTTCTTTACCACCAGCGCCACCTGGGAAGCCCAGAAGGCCGCGTCCCAACATCTAAATCCCAAGGTCACTTCCTCGTCTCCCTGCCCAAGCAGTTCACAGTCATTCCCGTGAAGGGGCGCTTCAGCACTTTGCTGTATGCAACCAAGCCATAAACGGATGCACAATATAAAAATATTACTGAGTTGGAGCCTGTGCTCCAAAGCCAATCCCAGGAGAGCGTTGGCAAGCGCGGGACCGCAGCAGCTGTGTTTTACCCGGGGTGGGGCTGGGGAAGGCCTCACCCAGGGGTCGGGCTTTTGGGACACGTTTGAAATTGGGCTGGAGAAAGGGAAGCTGCCATTGAGGAAACAAGCAGGTGCATTTCCTGGCATCCCTGGGAGCCTGGCATCTCTGAATACCCTCATGCCTCCCGACTACACAGTTCTTAGCATCCAGGAGAGACTGGCCAGACTCCAGGGACCAGACATTTCCAACACCAGCAACACTGGGATTTTCATTCTTTGGGGCTGGTTCCCACGCCTCAGGAAGCTGATTTCACAAGGTCTTCTTTTGACAGATATTGTACTGATCATCCACCAGGAGCCGGGCGCTGGTACACACAGGGGTGGGGAGGGGGATACTCAGGGAGGGGTCAGGTCCTGTGGCCTCTTGTGTGGTGACTCAGTGTGACAACTGCTGTGAGAGACAGGGGACCCCTCAGGGCAGATAGGAGGGGCTCACGGGGCAGAAGAAATGATGCCAGGCCTCTGGTGCCTGCACTGAGACCCAGGCCCCACGTGAGCTGAGGGGAGGAGGGGCACTGTGCGGAGAAAATTCACTAGTTGAGCTTATCCTCAAATCCATGAAAAATCCCTGAAAAGTGTTTTTTTAATGTTTATTTATTTATTTTTGGCTGTACTGGGTCTCTGTTGCCACATGCGGGCTTTCTCTAGTTGCAGCAAGCGGGGCTGCGTTCGCCGCAGTGCACGGGCTCCTCACCGCAGGGGCCTTTCTTGCTGCCTGGCAGAGGCTCTAGGCGCACAGGCTCAGTAGGTGTGGCGCACGGGCTTCGTTGCTCCACGGCATGTGGGATCTTCCCAGACCAGGGGTCCAACCCATGTCCCCTGCATGGGCAGGTGGACTCTTACTAACCCCTAGGCCACCGGGGGGCTTCCCAGGTGGCACTAGTGGTAAAGATCCCACCTGCCCATGCAGGAGACGTAAGAGACGCAGGTTCGATTCCTGGGTAGGGAAGATCCCCTGGAGGAGGGCCTGGCAACCCACTCTAGTACTCTTGCCTGGAGAATCCCAAGGACACAGGAGCCTGGCGGGCTACAGTCCGTAAGGAGGCAGAGAGTCAGACGCAACAAGAGCCGGACACCACGGAAACCACATTTACAGTTACATTTGGACCACCAGGAAAGCCCACTGAAAAGCTTTTGTTTTAATCTATATGACATGCTGACATGCTGACACCATCCACATGTTGACAGCTTGGTCCCTGCATCCCAGGCCACTGCTCTGGCCCCATCAACCTCCTTAGCATCTCCGGACTCCCAGTAAAGACCTGCAGCTCTAGACCACACCCCTGCACAGATCTGCTCTTCCTGCAGATTTCTTCCCTGAAATATTGTGATATAGTAAGAAATAGGTGTATTTGGTCTTTGTACTGTTTCTGGTACAAGAGCTGCTAAAACGCTTGCAAGTTCCCGATGGGGTGAGAGGAGCAACTATCGTCATTCAGAACAAGTCCCACCTCAAAGTCTGTGCTAATAAAGTGACTCTTGGAGGTTTGGGGCTGGTTGCCAGAGGAATGAACCTTGAGATTCAAGACTGGAGCTTTCAGGACTTCCCTAGTGGTCCAGTGGTTAAGACTCCGCGATTCCCATGCAGGGAGTGGGGTGGCGCAAGTTCAATCCCTGGTCGAGTCAGGGAACTAATATGCCACCTGGGATGCAGGCAAAAAAGAGAAAAGAGAGACTGGAGCTTTCAACCTTATCCCCACACTGCACGGGAGAGGAGGGGGTGGAGGTCGCATTCAGTCACGGATAGTCAGTGATTTAATCAAACATGGAATGTCCATTAAACCCTAACAACAGGTTTTGGAGGCTGTCAGGTTGGTGAACATGCCAAGGGAAGGGTGGGGTTCAAGAGAAGGCAGGAGAGATCTGTGTGCCCCCTCCCATGCCTCCCCTCACCACTCTACATACGCCCTCTCCAGGAATCTCTTCCAGCTGGTTGGAGTTGCATCCTTTATAGGAAACTGGCAAATATATGGAAACGGTCTTCCTGAGATCTGCGAGTCAGTCCACACTCTGTTGGCCCCGAGGAGGCCGTCGTGGGAGCCCCTGGTGGACGGCTAGTACGTGGGAAGCGCGGCAGGCCTGTGACTGGTGCTGGAGTCTAACTGGAGGCAGTCTTGTGGAGCTGAGCCCTGAGCTCGAGGGCTGCGACTCTACCTCCAGGGAGATGGCGATGGGATTGAAGTGAATTCTAGGATACCCAGACTGCGTCCAGAAAGTCGGAGCATAGACTGCATGCTGCATGCTCAGTTGCTCAGTCGTGCCCAAGTCTTTGCAACCCCATGGACTGTAGCCCACCAGGCTCCTCTGTCCACGGGACTCTCCTGGACAGATTCTGAAGCAGGCTCCCATTGCCTTCTACAGGGAATCTTCCCAGCCCGGGAGCCCCCATCTCCTGTGCCGGCAGGCAGATTCCGTACCACTGAGCCACCGGGAAGTTGTGTCCACAGGTTGAGAATGACACAGATGACATGCTTCTGTGCATCTCTTCCATCTCTGCATTAAGAGATAGCGAGTTGGGAGCTTGAAACTGGCTGTGATGGGAGTATTGACACCACAGAAATCAGGGACCTCTACACATCAGAGCTTTCAATAGCCCCAGAGAGCCAGTTGTTAGACATCTTCCAGCACACCACTGGAGGACTGAGAGTAGCACACTGTGGAGAAAGAGGGTGATGCAGTCGTCTTGGCAGACAGAAAGGAGGAGAAGACAGCAGGCTCAGGTGCATTCGTGGGCTTCCTAGTGAGACAATGAGGCCTTTTTTTCCTGTCGGCTTCCACTTTTCTCTGAAGTCAGCTGCTTGCATGAAGAAGCCAAACAGGACAGAAGCCTAGCGGCATGGATCCAAACCAGCTCGGCTTAGAAACTGAAGTGCCGGGAGGTGCACAGCAGAGCGAGTGGATGCAAGGCCCGTGGGGATGGATAAATAGGAGCAGCTGAGAAGAGCACGTGGATGCAGGGCCCGCGGGGATGGATAAATAGGAGCAGCCGAGAAGGCAGGGGAGGACACGTACCGCCTGGGCAGGGCGGGAAGGTGCGGAGACGGATTTGCACATGAGCATTCAGAGCACTGCATTTTGAAAGGATTTGATGCGCAGGCCCTGAGCTTCACACAGTGGCAATGGAGATGGGCTTGGACCTTGTTGTCCTGCAGTCTGGTGAGGAAGACAAGCACCTCGGGAAGAAACATAATTACAGCACTGCGGTGAGCACTCTAGGACAGGGTTTCCTAAGCTTTTGGGCACCACGGACTGGTTTCATGGAAGACAATTTTTCCATGGGGTGGCGGCAACTGGGGGTGATGGTGAGCGGTTTAGGTGGTAATGTGAGGAGCGATGGAAAGGGACTAACAGGCCACAGACCAGGGGTTGGGGACCCCAGCTCTAGAGGAAATAAAAGGAAATGCTGATGCCAGGTCATGTGGAGTTTACTTTCCATGGGGTGATGGTCGTCAACAGAACTGGAAGGCCCTTGTATGGTGCTTTTGTTTTGTTACCAATCTGGATTCTTGGACTCTCTGTGTTAGTTGCTCAGTGGCGTCAAACTCTTTCGGGACCCCATCTTCACAACCCAGATAATCACGATGGTGTGATCACTCACCTAGAGCCAGACATCCTGGAATGTGAAGTCAAGTGGGCCTTAGGAAGCATCACTATGAACAAAGCTAGTGGAGGTGATGGAATTCCAGTTGAGCTACTTCAAATCCTGAAAGACGATGCTGTGAAAGTGCTGCACTCAATATGCCAGCAAATTTGGAAAACTCAGCAGTGGCCACAGGACTGGAAAAGGTTCGTTTTCATTCCAATCCCTAAGAAAGGCAATCCCAAAGAATGCTCAAACTACCACACAATTGCATTCATCTCACACGCTAGTAAAGTAATGCTCAAAATTCTCCAAGCCAGGCTTCAGCAATACATGAACCATAAACTTCCAGATGTTCAAGCTGGTTTTAGAAAAGGCAGAGGAACCAGAGATCAAATTGCCAACATCCGCTGGATCATCAAAAAAGCGAGAGAGTTCCAGAAAACATCAACTTCTGCTTTATTGACTATGCCAAAGCCTTTGACTGTGTGGATCACAATAAACTGTGGAAAATTCTGAAAGAGATGGGAATACCAGACCACCTGACCTGTCTCTTGAGAAACCTGTATGCAGGTCAGGAAGCAACAGTTAGAACTGGACATGGAACAACAGACTGGTTCCAAATAGGAAAAGGAGTACGTCAAGGCGGTATATTGCCACCCTGCTTATTTAACTTATATGCAGAGTACATCATGAGAAATGCTGGGCTGGAAGAAACACAAGCTGGAATCAAGATTGCCAGGAGAAATATCAATAACCTTAGATATGCAGATGACACCACCCTTGTGGCAGAAAGTAAAGAAGAACTAAAGAGCCTCTTGATGAAGATGAAAGAGGAGAATGAAAAAGTTGGCTTAAAGCTCAACATTCAGAAAACTAAGATCATGGCATCCGGTTCCATCACTTCATGGCAGATGGATGGGGAAACAGTGTCAGACTTTATTTTTCTGGGCTCCAAAATCACTGCAGATGGTGATTGCAGCCATGAAATTAAAAGATGCTTACTCCTTGGAAGGAAATTTATGACCAACCTAGACAGCATATTAAAAAGCAGAGAGATTACTTTGCCAACAAAGGTCCATCTAGTCAAGGCTATGGTTTTTCCAGTGGTCATGTATGGATGTGAGAGTTGGACTATAAAGATGGCTGAGTGCCGAAGAATTGATGCTTTTGAGCTGTGGTGTTGGAGAAGACTCTTGAGAGTCCCTTGGACTGCAAGGAGATCCAACCGGTCCATCCTGAAGGAGATCAGTCCTGGGTGTTCATTGGAAGGAATGATGTTGAGGCTGAAACTCCAATAGTTTGGCCACCTGATGCAAAGAGCTGACTCATTGGAAAAGACCCTGATGCTGGGTAAGATTGAGGGCAGGAGGAGATGGGGACAACAGAGGACGAGATGATTGGATGGCATCACTGACTCGATGGACATGGGTTTGAATGGACTCGGGGAGTTGGTGATGGACAGGGAGGCCTGGCATGGGGTCGCAAAGAGTCAGACATGACTGAGTGACTGAACTCAACTGAACTGAAGACTGTAAGCTGCCAGGCTCCTCTGTCCATGGGGATTCTCCAGGCAAGAATACTGGAGCAGGTTGCTATTCTCTTCTCCAGGGGATCTTCCCACCCAAGGGATTGAACCCAGGTCTCCCACATTGCCTTAGACTCTTTAATCAATAGAAATTGATAAGTGGGCCCCTAGAGGAATTCAGGCAAGGCTTTATTGAGGCTCAGGGCTACAGCACAAGGTAGCAAAACAAGTAACAGGTGCCCTTGCTTGCTCCCTGAGTGGGGGTGGGCTAGTCCCTTAAATGGGGTGAGGGTGGCTGTGGCTCAGTGGGTCCAGCTGGAGGGGAGGCTGAGATGGTCTGCTCACCCCCTTGGCAGTTGTGAGTGCAGGGGGGGCATGCCCAGGATCTTGCTTTTGCTCAGAGTTGGCAGTTAGTTTGTGGCCTTTTATCTTATGTTTCATAACTGACTGTGCTGCTATTTTTTTAGTTCCTTGTAGTTTCTTTGTATTCTGTTGCTCAAGGAAATGAGTATTTGTCCAGGTGCAAGCATTTCAATTAGGTCTTCTCTGGTGGTTCAGCCTTAAAGAATCCACCTGCTAATGCCAGAGATGTGGATTTGATCCCTGGGTTGGGAAGATCCTCTGAAGAAGGAAACGGCAACCCACTCCAGTATTCTTGTCTGGGAAATCCCATGGACAGAGAAGCCTGGCAGGCTACAGTGCATGGGTTTGCAAAGAGTCAGACATGACTGAGCGACTGATAACTTCACTTCAGAGAAAACAGCAGCAGAGCCAAGAGACTGCCAGCATCATCAGCACTAGAGCCTCCAAGTAGGAAAGGCTGGGCAGGTGACACCGTGGACTGTAGCTCGCCAGGCTCCTCTGTCCATGGGATTTCCCAGGCAAGAATACTGGAGTGGGTTGCTGTTTCCTTCTCCAGGGGATCTTCCTGACCCAGGAATCAAACCTGGGTCTCCTGCATTGCAGGCAGATTCTTTACCACTGAGTCCCAGGGAAGCCCCAAGCAGTAAAAGCATTCGCATTTTACCTTTTTTGCTAAATGGATTTTTTTGTAATTGTACAACTTTTAAAAGAACATTTGACTGCGTTGGGTCTTAGTTGCAGAATCTCCTGATGCATGGACTCTCTAGGTGTGGCAAGAAGGCACAGTGGGTCTGTGGAATGTGAGATCTCAGTTATCCGACCAGGGATCAGCCTTGCATCTCCTGCATAGCAGAGTGGATTCTTAATCACTGGACCCCCAGGGAAGTCCCTGGAATTGTTTTAAAAGAGGGGAAGGGCAGGAAGGTGGGTGAGGACTGCACACGGAAGGCATCTCCTTGATTTTGGTGAGACTAGCCCAGCCGGTGTCAAGTCACAGCTGCCCAGTGGACACCTGCTGAAAGGATAAAGCCAGACCTGCAGGTCACACATCACTGCAGGCGACAGAGCTGGCGTTGGACACCAGCCCCTTCCTGTCCCGTTCAGATTCTTCATGTTGACCTATTACTCTAATAATCTATTCCTTGTGTACCAGATGATCACTTTCTTCTAATTTATTACTATTTTCTTGATTTACATGGTTACATTAGAGTTTTGCACATGGGAGCCTACAGGGGCATCTTTGTTTATTACTTTATAAGCTAAAATGGAGGCAGAAAAGCTCTTAACCCAGTTTTATCTTAATCCTAAAATTTTATTATCTTCTAATTCTTGAGCTCTGAGCACCGTGGGAAAACAATCCTTGAGGAACAAGTGTTATAAATTATTAATAACTGTTAAATTAGCATGGAGTTGAGTTCTCCCCTAAGTGTTTCATAACTATGGGGCAGGGAGAGGCCCTGGGTCTCCCTCTCATACAAAGCTGAACACCTCATTAACGTAACAAAAGACACCTTCACTCTCAACGCTCATTCAGTGGGGGAGCTCCCAGGGAGAAGACCAATTATTTACTTCTTTTTTTAAATTAATTAATTAATTTATTTTTTCCATTTATTTTTATTAGTTGGAGGCTAATTACTTTACAATATTGAAGTGGTTTTTGCCATACGTTGACATGAATCAGCCATGGATTTACATGTATTCCCCATCCCGATGCCCCCTCCCACCTCCCTCTCTACCCAATCCCTCTGGATCTTCCCAGTGCACCAGGCCTGAGCACTTGTCTCATGCATCCAACCTGGGCTGGTGATCTGTTTCACCCTTGATAGTATACTTGTTTCAATGCTGCTCTCTCAGAACATCCCACCCTCGCCTTCTCCCACAGAGTCCAAAAGTCTGTTCTGTACATCTGTGTCTCTTTTTCTGTTTTGCATATAGGGTTATTGTTACCATCTTTTTAAATTCCATATATATGTGTTAGTATACAGTATTGGTCTTTATCTTTCTGGCTTTCTTCACTCATGAAATGGGCTCCAGTTTCATCCATCTCATTAGAACTGATTCAAATGTATTCTTTCTAATGGCTGAGTAATATTCCATGGTGTATATGTACCATAGCTTCCTTATCTATTCATCTGCTGATGGGTATCTAGGTTGCTTCCATGTCCTGGCTATTATAAACAGTGCTGCGATGAACATTGGGGTACACATGTCTCTTTCAGATCTGGTTTCCTCAGTGTGTATGCCCAGGAGTGGGATTGCTGGGTCATATGGCAGTTCTGTTTCCAGTTTTTTAAGGAATCTCCACACTGTTTTCCATAGTGGCTGTACTAGTTTGCATTCCCAACAACAGTGTAAGAGGCTTCCCTTTTCTCCACACCCTCTCCAGCATTTATTGTTTGTAGACTTTTGGATAGCAGCCATCCTGACTGGTGTGTAATGATACCTCATTGAGGTTTTGATTTGCATTTCTCTGATAATAAGTGATGTTGAGCATCTTTTCATGTGTTTGTTAGCCATCTGTATGTCTTCTTTGGAGAAATGTCTGTTTAGATCTTTGGCCCATTTTTTGATTAGGTCATTTATTTTTCTGGAATTGA